TTAGACGTGAATTCTTTGTTTTTACCGTTGCAATGTCGAAGCGTTGAAAATGTTTAACAGAGCATGAAATAGCAGAAATGATGCAAAATATTTCAAATATTGATTCTGAAATTCTGATATTGATTCTGAAAGATTAACTGAAAGACATTTTCCAAAACTTTGTTCAGAAGAGACTGATAAGAAAATGAGACGACGATGCTTCGTTTGTTCACATTCCCGGAAAAATCCTCCAAAACGGCAAATGAGTTATTACGAGTGCAAGGAATGTAACGTAGGACTGTGTGTAGATCCCTGTTTTCAAATTTTTCATACGAAAAGAGAATTTTAAGTAATATATTTAGTTTTCAGAGGTATAATGTTAAAATTCATAAAATGGTGAGTAATTAAAATAAAATGTGTAAAATATGCATTTAAACAAGAAATAAGGTAATTAAAGTATATATATATAAATATCTATAAAGCATAAGCCGTTTAAATACTCTATAGAGCATTATTAAACAATGCGTTGATACTTCGGAAATTTCATGGATTTAGGTTAGTAGCAGAAAAGCCCCGGCCCTGGAGAGACGCTCGCGTAAGACACTGCCGGCCTCAGCGATAAGCGCGCGTTTTCGCTACTCGGCTCGAAGGGGCTAGAGCAATCCTTAGCACCGAATATACTCCTTAATTAGTAATTTGTGATCAGTATTTATTTTTCGTGTTTTTCATTTACGAAAACGTTAACAAACTCTGCTTCAGCAAACGGTTTGCGCAACTTTGCAGCATCATGGGCAACAGCATAGCTAGCTTTCGTGACTGCTTTGTCGATGCTTTGTTTTGTGAACAAAAGTTTTGTGCAATATTTTGCAGTTGGTTTGATGAAACTGATTCTTATTTCCAATGCTGTGTGCAAAACTTTCTATTATGTTGTATCTTTTGAATACAGCAGAACAGAACAGAAAAGAACGCCACCGAGTAAGCCATAGCCTTGGAGTTAATCATCCTCGTAAGGTTAACGCGAGGACAAGGATCTTCTCCGGTGTTTTGTTCTTTTCTGTTCTGCTGTATTCAAAGAATAGATATTTGACTACTATAATTATCTCTTGGCAAACTAATCAAATTGTTTTATAATTCTCACTTGTAAACAGATACTTTTTTATCCATATATCATTAAAATTTCGTCATTCCATGTCAGTTTTTTTTTTTTTTTTTTTTTTTTTTTTTTTTTTTTTTTTTGTGCTAACTCAATGCCTTAATTTATCAGTGAAAAATGAAATTTGGCACACTCAGACGTAAGTACATACAAAATTTGAATTCTACAGCGAGAGAGCACTCTGTGCATTGACTAAGTGCCATAACCTGCACATCTGGCAGTTTGTTTGGGGAAATAACGAGTTTAAAGCGCCGTTCATACCAGGGTTTATATGATATAATGGAGTCGGTTCCCCGTATCGGCTAGTAGCATTGTAAGTGAACTCAGACATTTCAGCTGAATAAAAACTGGTTTATTTAAAACAGTGGAACAATGTCACCTGTGAGAAATGTCTCTAATAACTTGGATCAACCCCAGTATTAACGGCCATTAATCTGTAACTTAAATGTTAATCCACAGATTCTACTGGTATTTTTGGCTTCCCCTTCGCGCCGACTGTCACGCCTACGTGTCAGCAACGAACACACTCACTTCCCGGTCGACACGCAGGCGTGCCAGAGCATTTTCCCGTTCATCCCCGACTGTCACGTATTAGTGCCAGTGTCCTGGAACGTTTTAAGAACTATAATTTCTGCCACAAGATGACACTGTATATCCATATGGTTTCAGATACATGTACATTAGACCTTCTCTTCAAAATGAGAGAAGCATGACTCACATACACGTGTTTTTGATTATATAAAACAAAAGGGCAAATAAATGTTTCCGAATGGCGTGATTTATGACGTCTCTTAAAATTCGCACGTGGTAGTTGTTTATTTATTAAGGAGAGAAGTTTTATTTTCGCTAAAGCGTTGGGTATTTCGGTTTGCAGTTCAGTTTATAGAAAATAATTAGATCTTGTTATACGTGAATCTTTCTGTTTTACCGTTGCAATGTCGAAGAGTCGAAAATGTTTAATAAAACATATCTTCATTTCAAATAAAAGCAAGAAAAATATGCTGTAGAATGAGGCTATTGAATTTACTGCAATCACTTGCAAAGTAAACTAATTTGTATTCTTGAAAAAGAAGCCAGAATGTTTCCTCTTTCGTCCAGAACGTTCAGTTTGAATGAATGTTTTTTGGTACAACGTACTTTTTTTTTGATTACTTTTTCTTCTTTTCAGGTATGGAATTAGTTTATCGTCTACAAGACAGATCTAATCAAGAAACATTAAGGTGACAAATGTCTAAATAGCTCTTTCCAAACATTTATATTGAGATTGACGTATTGAGTGCAACTGATTTTCGTATTTCAGTCTCATCAGCTTTGAAAATATTTGTTTATTCATATTAAAATAATATAATTAACCTAACAATTAACTTAATCAAAATATCATAATATTAGTTTATCATGTTATTTAATTGTATAATATTATTTTGATTGGGTATACTTTGATTATCATGATTTTATTTGTGTAACGATATTATTTAATAATTACATTATTTGACTGCTATTATTTAGTAATTATGATAAAATGTTACTTAATAATGAAAATCGAATAGTATTAATTATAAAAAAAAGTAGTGATTAGTGACCGTACCGAAGAGCCCAAATTCGAACTTCGGAGAACGCATGGATGTTGTAAATGTATAATCTCTTTTCGGCATGGGGGCACTCTAAATATATGGCCACCCGAAAGTCCTGTGGTGTGGTTTGGTCGTAGGATAAGAGGGGTGGGAGACCCTCGGACAAAGCCCTGAAGATCTCACTCAAAGGTGGAACTAGTAGGCAAAGTCGTAATGTCACCTATATGGTGCCCAACAACGACTGATTCATTCTTGTACACTTTGCCACGATAAAATTCGTCGGCTTGTCTGATTAGTCAGACATGTGAGATTCGTCATAGCAACAGCAACAACACAGCATAATAATAAAATATGAAGTAAATATTTTATTCAAATTAAAGTTTATGTTTCTCTTTGAGACAATCATCTTTTCTTTAGTTCCTGCACTTCTGGAAAAGATGCTGGAAACGAAACAATGAATAGTTTGATAATTATAATTTTTCTAAGAATAAAAATAAAACAAGGATTTGGGACTTGATGTATTATTTAAAATACGCACTGCATTTATACGCACGTGAGGGCGTTGTGGTAACTGCATATGTGGCTATTACTATGGTTGTTGTTAATCCGTCTTTTCTATTACCGGTATGGGTAAAACTTCTGATTTAGACAGCTTCGGTCTCAGACACATAGCAGACACTCGACGCATGGACCATTCAATTTCCAAAATCCTCAGTGGGCTAGAATTTTCAAGATCAGCAGTGTCAAGAGTATACCTAGAATACATGAATGGTGAAAAAAAGAACTAGCGATCGGGCAAATTTGCAAAGGACAATTAACCTAGAACGAGCGTGGTGTGAGACGGCTCAGTCGTATTGTACGTAGTCAACGAAGACAAACATTAGCTCAAATTACCACCCAGGTGAATCAGGGCGACAGTCGTATAGTCAATAAAAGGATCGTGCAACGCTCGTTTCGGCTTCCAAAGCCACCATATGGCTCTGGAAGCCGAAGATCCACGAGAGTACCTTTGCTAAATGCATGTTATTGAGCTGCACTTCTTGCCTGGGCAAAAGAACAAAGAGAATAGACTCTAGCCTACTGGAAACGAGTAGAATGGATTGATAAGTCTCGATTCCGACTAATTAATACCGATAGAAGGCTGAGAATATGGCGACCGACTCAAGAACCCATGAATCTTGTGTATGGCAGATTGGAATTGTACAAGGCCCTGGGGGCTTAATCATGATCTGGGGTGTTTTCTCTTGGCAGTGTCTGGGATCTTTGGTACTAGCACCAACCTCTCTCAATATGATTCGGTAAGTAGAGTTGCTGGGCGATCATTTCCATCCATTTATGTTGTCCTGTCATTCACGCGGAAATGGAGTATCCCAGGAAGATAACTACACCTCTCACAGGTTCCGGTTAGCTACTGCCTGGTTGGATGAGCGTTCTTCTGACTTCTCTGTCATAAACTGCTACTTAAAAGCTCTGAATGAGCATCTTTAAGCGTGTTGGCAATTTTTTTACCTGAGCCTGCATTTGGACACGGCAACTATATGTTGCCTGTTCAAGAGTTCGTGAAAAAACGGACGTAAAATAAAAAATAATTGATGGTCCTCTGCAAGGCGAGCTTAAAAATGATGGAAAGATCTACACAAGAAATGCTGTGTACAAAGAGATCTTTGACAAGTAAATTAACATTTTATTATTTAAATCATCTTTATTTATTGAGCTATCGGTGCCTCTTAAGAAATGTACCACCAGTGGTATCCTTCATTGCACTCTACTTTAAGCAATTAAGTAAGTAGAAGGGGGAAATCCCGTGGGGCAGTAAGCAAAGGGGCGTCCTCGCCGCCTGCCCTGGGTAATTCAGCCCTGAAGAATTAGAAGACACCTTTGCAGAAATCATTTTAATTACAGTTTATAATATCTAGAACAGCGATCATTTCGTATGACCGCCGGGCTTTCGAGTATTAAATATGTATAGCAAAATCATTAACTGAAATCGTCAGGTTTAATGATTTTCTTTATATATTTTATATCAGATTTGTTATTTCTTATGTCCGACAATGTGTTTATGAATATATGAATTGATAAAGATGTCGGTATTTAATTATATTCTTCCATGCTTATTTATCGAGATCATTTCACCTTTTAGAACTATTAATGTTCAAATTTGTTTATTTTTTTCTTATCTGTGATAATTTTTTTACTTACGTTTTATTACTTATTGTAATTTTGCAGTTACATCAAGCTATTTTCGAGTTATGTATTTTGATGTAACTGATAAGATTTTGCATGAACAAAAACTGTCAGACTTTATTACTATTAGAATTTAATTTTGAAAACCGAACACAACACGCAAATTAAAATTCAAGCAATAATTTTACAACATTTTCTTTAAATGTTCTGTGCAGTTATATAACATATTTATCCTCAAGAAATCACTCTTGCTAACGTAGTACTTGTGGATCACTTCTTGTAGGTACTTGTTGCCTTTACCCGTCATGGTCATGAGTTTATTCTTACGATCTTTAGAAAAGGTATAAGACCCATACAGCATAATAGAATCATAATCAAAGTGTGTCAGCAGTTGATTCTGATGAGGCTTCAATTTCATGAACTGGTCTTCCATTCCTAGATTGCATAAGCATAAAATTAATAGCTGTCTCTAATATACTGACTTCGATAAATAATGATATCCAGTGCAATATCAAAAATAATTTCTAATACAACAGTGCCCATGTAATGCTGAATATCAGTACATATCACATTGCAATATAAAAATTAAGTGAAAACATAAGCATATCCTAAATAATTTTAAATATACACAATAACAGAGTCTGGGATAATTTTTAGGCTCCATACCCAATAACATTATTTTACGTATATTAAAATCATTATACTTACAGCAGTACTATTTATGGCCATAAGAAGAACCATTATTTTCATTAAACCATTAAACATCTTTGAATTTTAATTTGAGTTAATGGCATAGCTGAGTTCTTACAGAAGCTGAAAGAATTAGAATTCTTGTTGGTCAAGAACATTGATTTCTGTAAAAGATATGCTGTGTTTTTATTTTTTAAATAATAGTGAATTGTGAAAGCAGAAAATTCAAGATTATTTAGAGGCTGTTTTGGATTTTGATACACAAACTAATTTGTTCAAACTAATATGTACATTAACTCGAAAACTTTGTTTCGATCACAATCATAAAGCTGACAAATTTTTCCTTTTGAGTACTTTCGCAATATCAATTGACAGAAACGACTAAATTATCATAAATCTTGATGTTATTAAAATATAGTTATTTCCTCTTTAGCATAAATAAATGTGAAAATATTTTTATCACGTTAGCAATATGGAATTCTTAGTGTTTTGTCCATTTTCTTTAATTCTAGGAAAACTAATTTCGTCATCCATTTGCTTGCGAAAAACCATTCTCCATTTCATTTTCATGCAGTTGGCGATATACACTGCGCGCCAAAATTAAAAAATGTTATTAAAAGTAAATTTACACGGTTACTAATTGAAAAATGGTGGAAAACACTTTTTACAAAGCACTATTTTACATAAATACATATATTTGCCAAATTACCATCTTAACGCAAATTACGTTATATCTCAAAATATTGAAAAAAAAAATCAAATCTATAAAAAAATTAAAAAATGAGGAAAACATTATCATTTCTGTTCCGCCACAAGTCTTTCTTTAATATGGATTATGATTACCCCTGACTGTACGAGAAACTTAATAATTTTGAAAGCATATGATTTTCCCAACTCTTGATCAAATTACATGGAACCGCAAGTCACTCTTTTGAAAGTGCACTTTTCAGATCTTAGAGAACCAGGGAAAGCGTCTGGAGCACAGCAGTTCGACGAATTAAATCATCTCATATTTCCTAGATCAGATTCAAATCTGGTGAATACGCTGACCAATCCTTAGAGAAATAAATTCTGTTTCTAAACATTCTCATGCCACAGCTGCTCGACGCGAACGAATACTGTTATCTTTTAACACAAAATCCGAACGAACATCACCTCTAAACAGCCTTACATGGGATTCTAAATCCTCGCCCACATATCTGTGACCGGTTACAGCAACTTCATTAACGATATACAGCTCAGTGTGGGCATTTGATGATTCCACCCCAACCATGAAATTACATCCGTAGAAATGAAAACTTTAGGAACAAGGGAAAGTATACTTCGTGTTTCTCGCTCCTTTCAGCTCAATTTACATCTAAAATCACTGGTCTGGACTTGTTAGTGAACAGTATACACTTTCATTTATCTTGATTCCATTGAATATACTACATTATTTTAAACGGATCCTTTTGAAATATGAAGTTATTAGGACACAGGCCATTAATTTTGTCGCATAAACTCTAATCTCATGAAGCCCTCGTGCAGCGGCAAAATGGCTGCTAGGAGTCTCTTAGGCAGCCTGAAAGCCTAAAACCAATTCTCTTGTAATCGTTTCATGGCTTCTTCAACTCGAAAATAACAGAAAATTGTCTTCGGGTGCAGTTTTCTGTACTGGTTCTTTTAATCTTAGCTGTGCTTAGCAAGCTGTCCATTTAATTTGCTTCTTAAAATGTAGCTTCAGGTTCTTGATATCCCACTTATTATTATATAAGGAAGGATATTCGAATCATGGATGACCTCCATTTGTGTTTTCCCACGCTCTTGATTTCACCAATTAACCGATACTCTTACCCTTCACTTAAATTATGTGTTTGAGTCATGCTTAATGAATATTTATGCTTCTCAGAAATAACATAAAAACCTAATTTGGTTATTTTATGCGATAATTTAGGAGGGAAAATTAAATTTTGGATTACACTGTAGAGTCATAAGGTTATTTTGAAGCAGAAAACATAAAAACGTGCAATGCTTTCGCCGGGACTCGAATCTGGACTTCTCGAATAAGCGCCTAGTGTGCTACAGTTATACCACGAAGGCATGCTGGAAGGAGAGAGAAAATACCTTATAAGAACACTGGTTGGAAATTTTAAACACAAAAATATTTTTCCAGATCATCTTTCCGTTTTAATGGGCAATGTCAAATGTCATGCTTAATTAAGTGGAAGAATTTGAAGAAGGGGAGGCGTTCATTCCATCTGTATTTTAAGAAATGTGATACAGTAATGGATCTATTGCTGCAACTTACTTATGATGCCAAAACTTAGCAGTCCTAACTTAATAATTTAATCTCTTAAAATACGTAAAAAACTATTATATATTTTTAAAAAATCTACCTTTACTAACCTAAAAGTACTCCTTGAGATAATTGTAACGTCACAAACATTTTGCAGGTATGTGGAAAACAGTTATAATATTGATTAGCAATGTTTGAAAAAATCTCAAATACTTTGAGGTTTCGAACAAATACATACGCATCCAAATGCAAATCAGCGTTCATGTTTATAAATGCGCAATTGTCCCATAATGCTTGCTAAACTCAAGAATTGCTGTAAAAGTTTAAGTGGTTAAATCTGAAGTCATCACCTATGCAGCCCAGTAACTATTTTCTTTTTTCTGAAGTTGAAGGAATATTTATCTCTTCAGACAGTGATGGGAAAACAGCCACTTAGAAATGCCTCAATGGGCAGGGACTCAATGGACAGGGATTTCTACAAAGCCGAGTTAAGCAAGTTGGTCTTGCGGTCAGATAAATGTTTAAATGGATTTTGTGATTATGTGGAAAATGAGAGGGAAGTATGCCTCTTAATCCCCTTATTCATTTTCTGTCTATTTCTAATAAATAATTTTTATTATCCTTGTAACCATTTTTTATCCATCCTCGTATAATCCAGAAAAAAAGATAATTCTAAAAACAACAAATAGCTATGTTCCCCAGTAGTTTCTGTATACGCTGCTGAAGACGGTGATGTTTTTAAAGTTGAAAACGCATTTAGCGCTTTTTCTTTAAAATATACCTCAAAAACACGTTGATTTTTCAAACTTATTACTAATTTTGATTATTTCAGAAATGAGGAATATTTCCACATTGAAATGTGTGTAGTATCTTTGATATTTCTGCTCTTTTTACTTTTTTAGAATAATTTCAACACATTTTTCACCTGGAACTTATTTTTTAATCTAGGCAGTTGTAGATTTTAAGTTAAATTTCCCAGTAACCTTAGTTCTCTTTTATATCCCATTTAGATTGTCAACTTTTGAGTACCTTCATTTGTCTATAACTCCGTTTTCCAAAAAAATAGCATTTTCTCAATATAAAGGAAGTTCCTTAATTTTAACGGTACGCAATTGCTTGGTGTTTAGCCCACACGGTAACACTGCAATAACATATGACAATTTCAAGCTGCTTTTCAAACTTCGACTGCTAAATAGCATATCGTTGTATAACGTATCTCATTCGAAGCACATGCCAAACAGATTGCACTAAAATCTCAGAAGACATTTGCGACTGATATAGAAGAAACCGCATTTTTAAAATTTACTCCACTCACCTTCTTTGATGTTTTCCCAGTGAATATCAATGTAATCATCTCGGTCAGATCTGTTCTGTTCATGATAGAATCCGAGTGCATGGATGAGCTCATGTGAGACCGTGGCCATAAAATGACATCCCCTGCCAAGAGAAAGTGGCTGTGCACCTCCCGTTTTACCAACATGAGAATAACACCTAAATAAAATAATGGAAAATATAAATTAAAATTTAAGAGCTTTTGAAGTTATTAATGCAGATTAAAAAGTCATTAGATACTCTTTATCAAATCTCATAGGTAATGCGAAATGCCTTCTGTGTTTTGCGAAGATGAAAGCTGCCTTAATTATTAACAGTATTTAAATATTTCACTTGCTTTCAAATGAAAAAACACAATAATATGTAAACCTGCAGTTTCCTATACTATTTGAAATTCAATAGTTTTGTATAAATTCATATGTCAGCCTTTTCCTACATGTAGTTAGAGAAGCAAATATGATTCGATTGGTAAAGCATTTGATAGTATATTCTCCAAAATTATACTGAGTTTTTATCGAAAAGAAATTGCACATGTCTGAACATAAGTTGGTACAAGCTAGGTAGCTAAGACAATAACGTTTGGTGAATGCGTTCGTAAACAAAAGATTCTAATCGAAATCGTAAAACGTTTTATAGACCTTTGAAATTATTTTAATTGCTTGCAATGCACTGACAGTACAGTTCAACACTGACTGTACAATCAATGACTTTACAGTTCTTGAAAACTGCGGTCAACGTCCGTTTTTTGGTATCGCATGGAGAACTCTCATCCCATGGTTTTTTAACTGTCTGGAGTAAACAAAATTCTTTCTTCTTTTAAAGCTCATTTTACGTCCAGGAGCAGAAAAAATTCTACTGAAGCAAGATAGGTGAGTACAATGGATGAATGAGGGCTACAACTACAGACTATATATTATTGCATGACAAGAGCCAAATGAGGCTGGGCATTATTATGTGTTAGAAAACATTAGCCAGCCTCGCCATATTCTGAACACATATGATGGATTTTTCGCAATACTGTTTTTACTAGAATATCCTTATCTGTATCAGCATTCATTGTTGCTCTTTCTGGATAATATCACTGCCACTTTTTCAATGTTTCCGTCTCTACGAGAGCTCGTACACTCAGCGCCGGATTTAGCTTTTTTCCTAGACGGGGAAAAAACTTAAAACTGCCCCCCTCACCCATCTTCCTTTATATTTCTCTAACAAATTTTAATTATTTAAATAAACCTAGAAATAGATAGGGATCGAGATAAAATGTAAAATCCATTTTATAGTAATAAATTCTTTAAGTGCCATTTTTGTTATAAAAGAAATATACATAACAGAACTACCAGTGTTCAGACTTTACCTCTCAGCCGCTAGTGTCCCGACATACATACCAAAAGTTACATAATTAAAAACCTGTGTGAATCCTAATGCAGTTGCTTCTCAAGTGCACTGAAATAATCTAATTTACATTTTCTCTGAAATAGAGATTATTTTTCAATATTTTCAACAATACCTACTCAGACTAATAAATGATACTAATAGAAAACGATTCAGTAATAAATACTAAAATAGTTCAGCACAGTACAAAAATGGGAATCGCAGATTACTAAATAATAAAAAGTTACATTTAAACAAATATAAGCCAATTATCGTCCTCTACTATCATCCTCACAAAGCCCGATAAGATAATAAATATTTACATATTCACACAAAAGACTATTTTCGTACTGTAATAATCAAATTTACATTTTCTCTGAAATACGCAATTTTGCAATATTTGCAACAATAACTAGCCAGACTAATGGAAAATGCTTCACTACTAAATACTAAAACAGTTCAGCGTAATTAATATCTTAAACAAATGTATATAAGTTACAAATCACGAATGAAGTGGATTAAATAATTAACTTACCAATTTCTTTAAATTAACAGCAACTTTAACCTGGCACTTTAAAGTTCCATTTCACTCTAACGCCTTTATGTAGGCTACTCAAGAACTCTACTATCATCCTGTCTCGAATCTACTATCGAACTGTACTATCACACAGCCCGATAACGTAATAAATAATTATATATTCACACAAAAGATTATTTTTTCACTGTAATAATCAAATTTATATTTTCTCTGAAATATGCAGTTTTTTCAATATTTGCAACAATAACTAGTCATACTAATGGAAAGTAATTCAGTGCTAAATGCTAAAGAAGTTAAGAATAGCACGAAAAATAGAAATGGCACAGTACTAATTATAGCTTAAATGAATATATACATGTTACAAATCACTAATGCAATGAACAATTAAAAGCCTTTTTTTTCAATAACATACTTAACGTTCAATCAAATATGCATTCGTAATAAAAATAATCAATCTTTACTTACAAACAACAGATTTCATAAGTTAAGACGATAGATGAGCTGATTAATTACGTAATAGCTAACTTTCATTAGCTATACATAGCAACAATACGGGCTACTGCTGAAAGGAAAAGGTTAGTATTTGTACTTCTTTTCCATAATTCTTGTTTCATTAATAATTTTAAGTTCTCACCTAATGCTCTTAAAATATTACGGGATTAAAATTGTACTCTGCGACCCTTTTGCTCTGCAAATAAATCTATGGTATCGTCCTAATTAACTTGATGTTCTGTTTAAAATTCGATTGCAAGAATTGCGAGACTTGATAAAGGCTCCTGGCTCATACCGATGATCGCAGATAGTTTTTAATAAGTTTAAATTTGCTGAAACTTCGCTCACAGCTCGCGGATGTAGTTGGAAACAGACAATAAATTCGCATCCTGAAAATCATAGGTGTAGATCATTTGCAAGAGGTAAAAAGCTCTAACTTTTTTTATGTCGGCGAATAACATTGGGGCTTATTCTTTACGCCAATTTCCTGGCAGAACTCAAATGAATATAAAGACCTCGCTCATATTTTCGTGCAAGATCTGCTCCATTCTTTTGCAATTTCTTCAGTTGAAATGTTCAATATTTCATGACTATTGAAAAATGAGAAATATGAATTTAGTGTAGTAGCGCTGTTTAAACTCGTTTTAATTTCTGATAAAATTTCGATCAAATACAATTTTCAGTGCATTAGAAAATAGCTGAACAGGATGAAGTGTTCGTGATACGTCCTCGCACAATTCATCACATTGCTTTTTGCGCTTTAGAATTCGTTTCTATGTCAGAAAGTGTTCAACCTCAATTTTTTCGGCTGCGCTTCAGATTCTTCTATCCAATATTCCATGAGAATTTCTCTCATTTTTTGCAAAGTTTTGGTCCGACCTTCCATTAATGTGACGGAACGAGCTAGAATATCTTCCTTTTGAATTTCAATATTTATTCGATTGATTTCTCGAAGAATATTAGGCCAAATATTCAGGTTGATAATAAATTAAAAATTTTTTACAACATGTAACAGATATCCAGCTTCCTACTTTGATGCCGCACTAAGAGAAAGATAATTAATTTCTCTCACGGATTTTACTACTTTTTGTAAATTTGTTAGAAGGGCTTTCACAGCCACATATTTCCCGGCCATCGCGTCTGGCTGCTTCCTTCTAAGTTGGTTTTTGTATATCCTTTCGTAATATCCCATTGAATAGTGGACCCGACAAAAAAGCTAAATAGCTTCTGGATAATTCCAAATAAGTTAACTGCTTCGGGGCAAGATGAGGCAGGATGCACACCGAAGATTCAAAGAGTAAGCCAAGTATCGCAGATATTCGGAAAGCTTATTCATTTCTGTAATCCTGGCTTGTTCTCCTTTATAAGTACCGGCCTATATTAGATTCGTTATGGTCAAATTGACCACGACATTGTCCATTATCCAAACCATCAAGTGTCAGTTTTTCCACAATCCATTGAGAAATACATTCTTCTGTCTTTCTACCAACTTCTATGAAATCAATAAAGCTCTCCTTTATCATACAGATCACCACATATTTTTTACGTGTTGAATCACCTGACTCATTTGTTCTGTATGCGATACATCTGGAATGCAAAGGAACATTATTGCATAATATTTGGCTTCTTTAATATCATTTAAAATGCTATTGCGAACTGTTTTCGCCATTATATCAGTAATTTAATTTTGAATTATATTTGTCCCTTTTTTAAGTGTTTTAATTGGTACTTAAGAGTTGAGTTATGTTTGGCTAGCAGAGCCATTAAATTCGAAAAAATGCCTTAACTAGGACGAGGACACTTTAGTAGACTGCTAGGAGTTTCATCAGACCCACAGAAAGAAAGACAGTTTGTTGAAAGATACCATACAGCATCCATAACTACCTTTAGGATCTCTCTGCATTTTTCTTTCTCTGTGTGAATTAGTCGCTTAATGTCATGATCAATGCCTTGACACGATTTAGTTATTTGTTGTAGTCGAATTTCCACTTAATCGTGCACTCTCTGTGGATTTGAGATGCTTCGTGCTAACCTTTCTGAAGTGTTTTTTCCAATTAATGAATTCTGTAGTACACAATGCTAATGTAGCGGCAGTAGCATGTTTCTTATAAATCTCACAAGCTATACAAAAATTGCATTTTTAGTTTTAGAATATATAATCTAAGACCTTTTAATCTTTTCATTATTTGCTAATGTTCTGTGCCATAATGAAAATGTCAAATATCTTCCATCACGTACAGTGGGCCTAAGGTCTACGTTTTCTGGATGTTTTTCGGCTAATAATACAGCTTGACTGCTTAAGAAAGATCTTTGCTTATCGTTCATTTTTTCTGTAATTGGCCAACTATCCGGGTCTGACAATTCAATTTTTTTTTAAGTTTTTTTTTCTGTTGCCTACTCAATGAGATATCCTAATTTCATGTCCTCTAGATGTTCGTTTGAGGTCGATGAAAAAGGTTGTTCTCTCAGTCGCTGAAATATAATCTGTTTGAGGATGTTAGCTGATGATTTTTCATCTTGGTCATGCAAACTGCAAGAAATATAAATATCCTTTAGAATCTCGGCACCATCGAAAGTTGCGGCAGGGTCTGACGGTTCGTCTTTTCCGTGAAGCGATTTTTTCATTTTAGCTGCAGTTTGTTTTCTCTGTTAGGTTGTATCTTTTGCTCTTTTTCTATATTCGGCCCCTGATAGTTTTTTTAGACGCTCGCATGATTTACTTTACCCTAAATAATATGCAGTATAACTCGCCTTAGTA